CGAGATAGCACGTGTGGCGTACGTGCAAGCGAGATAGCACGTGTGACGTACGTGCAAGCGAGATAGCACGAACGGCGTGCGTGCGAGCGAGATAGCACGTGTGGCGTACGTGCAAACGAGATAGCACGAGCGGCGTACGTGCAAGCGAGATAGCACGGGTGGCGCATGCGCAAGCAGGATAGGTATAGCAGGAAGAGACAGTGAGGCATGCGAGGTTATTCACTTTTATATTTTAAACATATTTAACATATTTACAATATTTACAGTATTAGTGACGACCTTGTCGTTACATATTAATAATAATTAAATAAAATAATAATAGCTTTTCTCTCCTAGCTATTATTGGTTTATTACAAGATATATTAAATACATAAAATAAATTTTTTATACACATGTACAATTACAAAATGGTCAACATATTTTCAAAATTTTAATAATTATTCTAAATATAATTCTCACACAAAATGTAATAACGTTTATATAACAAAAAATATAAAAAAATTTTGTTAAGATGTCTGTGGAATTGAACTTGAGTTTTACTGCGTGATAGATTGAACACTCTTGCACTGAGCCATCACATATTTCTTGTACATGCTTTCATATTATCAGTATTTATGTAGCAGATATTTTTACGCGATAATATCGATATAATCGAAAAGAAATCAAGATAGCATACTTGTCGGTCTATAAATTTGCAATTACTGAAAGATAATGTAAGCCAAGAATTAACAATTGTTCTCTCCTTGTCGCTCTATCATGCTGACAATACATAAAGTACCGATGAAAAAGCAACAAGTAGAAAAGCAATAAATTGCCAAGTCTAATAAGTGCCCGTGTTTTACATATTGTATATTAGTTCACTCTGTGAGTTATTATTTTACTGTTATTATTTATCGTCATACAATTTTTAATCATATATATAATTTTTAGATATTATTGATACATATATATACGCATAAATGTGCATAAACAAATATAAAATTTACAAAAAGTGGGCGCTTGTTAGCCTAGTTGCATTATTGTTTTTTGCCACGAGAGGCCAAAAAGCATTTTCAGGCCGTATCTCGGCTATAAAGCGATACGCTAGAGGAACAAGGATAACGTGATCGTTGATCCTTTTCTATCTTTCCTCTCCACGGTGCGTCCACGCGAGCAATTCAATCGTGTGTGTACGTATATAGACACACACCTCTACATAGAGATCGAGAATTTATTTCTCAGATTGGTAATCCTGAAGTCGGAGTTTCGCATTATTGTCACCGCGCGAGATCTCCAATATCAATTCGGAGTTTGCCAAAAAGTCCTTTAGAGATTTGCTCGTTTTTGCTGCGTTTTGAAGAAAGCAAAACAACAAACAATATGTAAGCAAATTTGAAATTTATCAAAATATATACATAACATAACAATAAAAGACTAAGTGAAATTGCCAAGGACATAAAAGTTCTTGACTTTAGAAAATAAAATATAATACAAGTTATGTAAATATTGGTGGGCTTCGACCGAAAGTAACTCAATAATCTCGTAGGTCTTGTCAAACCATAACAAAAGGCCGTGGGTACAAACATCACCGCTATGCAAGCAGCAGCAGCAGCCGCCAACAGATTCACCGGAACGGCCGGCCCTATTGGTACTACAAACGTTGTAGGCGGTCAGGAAGATGGAATGGCAGCACAACAGGCACAACCATCCGCACCGAGTCCCGCTCAACCTCAGTCGGGAGCGTCGACTGGAGGACAGCCAAGCACTCCCCAACCAGGTGCTCAAGGCCCAATGGCTGTACCGTCTCAAGCTGGTAGGTTTATATTTACTCATTATTATAAATACTATTTCTAGTAACATTGCTAAATAAACTTGGTATATCTTTATCAAGATCTCTTCTATCTGTTATCTTTAGGGACAGCAAAATCGACACCCGATCCTGAAAAATGTAGACTTATTCAACAGCAATTGTTGCTAATTCTACATGTGCGTACATGCTACCTTCACAAAAGATTAGCGAATGGTGAGATGAGACAGTGTACCTTACCGGATTGTAAGACGATGAAAAACGTCTTGAATCACATGATGAGTTGTATAGCTGACAAGAATTGCACTGTGCCACATTGTAGTATATCCAGGCAGATTATCAAACATAAATATTGTAATCGAAGTGATTGTCCAATTTGCTCGCTGATAACACAACCGAATATAAACAGATATAATTCTGCGCAAGGTAATTTAGAAAAATTTTGTTTATAAATGACATTTCGTGCGCGATAATTAATAGTTGTACGATATTCTACTTAGAAATATTTTTAGATTCTTTTTAAAAACAAAATTTGTGATTTATATAGATGTGAGCCAGACCATAAAAGAGGAACCTGGCATCAAGGAAGAGAGCATGACTCCCATCTCTGGTCAGGATGCGACCACCTCTGATATTAAACCCATGGTGCCGGAACTGATTCAACCAAGCGGTACGTCCACCGATAAGAAAAAGTGTTTGTTCAAGCCTGACGAGTTACGCCAGGCATTGATGCCGACGTTGGAGAAACTGTATCGACAAGATCCTGAATCCATACCGTTCCGACAACCCGTGGATCCTCAGGCGTTAGGTATACCGGATTACCCGACCATCGTAAAGAAACCGATGGATTTGTCGACGATCAAGAAGAAACTCGACACGGAGAAATATAGCGATCCGTGGGAGTACGTCGATGATGTGTGGATGATGTTTGACAATGCCTGGCTCTACAATCGCAAGACTTCTCAAGTCTACAGATACTGTACTAAGGTAATGTCTATTCAATGAGATAGTATCCCATCGAATATAATTTCTATAATTTACGTATTTATGTCTAATTCATAATTCTTATTTTTTTTGGAAATACATGCAAAAGCAGGTCAGTCTCCTGACCTACATTTTCTTTTTTAATTAAAATTTATAATAATTACTCATACAAATTTTTTTTTATGTTTAACTTATACTTGAAGTTTATACATGAATTGCGCATATATTTAAGGGATATGTATTCTATCGAGAGACATAATTGTAGCAATCAAAGCAAACTATGAGGAAAATTACAATATTATATCATAAAATCTTATTGATTTCTGAGTATGTTTAATTTTACATAGCCTTTTGGTATATGCGACTATAAATAAAAAAAAATGACACGAAATCGGAATTGTGAAATAATTGGCGATACCATTGCATGCATGTGTTATTGCGAAAAATCGAATATAACATATTAGGTCTACTGGAAAGTTCTGTCCGTTTCTATCACAACAAGTCTCGACAGTCTCGACACGTAAGCACATGTTTGAATACAAATTGCCCTCACGCTGGCAAGAAATCATTAATAATAATGGCAATTACATTATTTAATAAAGTTTATTGACGGTAATAAAAATTTGTATTTTGTTTTATTCCAAAAACGGACAGAACTTTCCGGTAGACCTGATATATACGCGAAATATTAAATTATACGTATAAGTATTTTAAATTATAGATTAATTATTTATTAATCGATAGATGTGTATCACGAAGCCATCGTTGTTCATGTGATAAAACCCACGTACGATGCCGATATAATAGCAGTCTAAAGGGAATTGGTCTTCAGTCCGACAGATACACCTTCTGTCAGAAATGTTTCAACGACATTCCTGGAGACACACTGACGTTGGGAGATGATCCAACGCAACCTCAAACGTAAGTGTAAAGGATGTAGTCTGTTAATATGTTATTTCAGTTTATATATGGCATTTCTATCTTTTTCTTTCATAGTGCCATCAAGAAGGAACAATTCCAGAAGATGAAGAATGATCACTTAGAATTGGAACCTTTCGTATCCTGTATGGATTGCGGAAGGAGA